TTTTAAAAAATAAATTAGTTACATATTTTCAAAAATAAAATAAAATAAAATTGTATTTATTTTTATTTTTTCCTTCAATTTACTTAAAATAATCTATATATACCTTTAAAGTTGAATTACCATTTTACCCCTCCACTAAATCAAAATATGGTTACTTAATTTGTTAAATATTAATATTTTAATTATATAATGATATATATGAAGCCCAACAACTATACTTTATTCTTGTGTTATGGCATTATAATTATAATTGATTAGATTAATTAATTTAATTAAAGTAGAAGATAAAACAATGTGTGAAACTCTTCCAATTCAGTGACTCTTCGAATCTTGAAACCAAAAATAAAATTTATGTGTCATGATTCAATGTGTCTCATTATTGAAACTCTTCCAATTCAGTGACTCTTTGAATCTTGAAATGTTTCATGATATGTGTCTGAATTTTGGTAGGTGAAAAGACATTTAAATATCACTATAAATACCAGTAAATTATAGCCACAATTTGCTTGTCCCTAGACCATCATATTCTTTTCTTTTTTGTCATCTATGATTCTCTAATCTCCTTCCTAGCTAATGAAATAACATATTGTCAAGAAGGTAACTGAGGAGAAGAACAGATGACATCATTCCAAAGTTAGCTTTCTTACAATAGAATAGTTGAAGTTAGTAGTATAAGAGATGAAATCATGAAAAAAAAAGTTTTCTTACAGTAGAATAGTTGAACTTAGAAGTATAGAAGAGATAACTTATTCCTTGAGATCTTTTGTTTATTAGCTTATAATTTTAAATTTTCTTTTCCATTTTAGAGTCAAGTTATGGTTGTCCAAATTAAATTTGGTATGCAAACCACATTTTTATGTAATTCTTGTATCATTTTGCATTGCTGTGAGAATTTGTTTGTCATTGTGTTATTGTTGTTGTAACTGTTACTTAATCGACAAAACTTCTATTAATGTATGATGAGTTTGATAATAGTTGCATTATGCAATATGCTCAGATATCCATATTGTCAATATTCAAATTAATTTAAATAAAGATTGCTAAAAAATTGTTACTTTGAATGAAAGATTTTAATTGTGTTACTTTATCGTCTATCTAATATATTGTTGCGAACACATACATATATTGTTCATTTTCACCCTTTTTGTTTTATTTTTAGTTTTTCTACGATTTGTATTTATATTGTTGCAACATATATTTTTCACATGGAAAATTGTATTTTCACTTTCAAATAGGAAACACTTACATATGTATGTTACACTAATATTCATGTCATTTTAGAAAGTTTGAAATACTTGATAAGAATACACGTGCAACGCATGTGTCCATAACTAGTAGAAAGAATAATTGCTAAGAGCAAAGTCAATATGAGTCAATCTTTCAAATCAAATTTGTAAGGCTGTGTTACACAACACACATTCACTAATTAGCACAAAATCAAAGAAATTTTAACGTTTTCTTTAGAAGAAAATCAAACGTGACACACTACTACACACGTTGTCACGTGGGATTTCACTTTTTTTTTTTTAAAAAAAAAAATATATATATTTTCTAAATCTTTTTTATTTTCTTTTGTAAGTCTTCAGTCGTGGATCGCCCATGTGGGCCGATCCGAACTCAATTTAATCCGATCCGATTTAACCCGATCCGAAGTTGTTATCTGTAAAAGGGATAAATGCTAATTTAAAATAAGGGAGAGAACAATTACTGTAACTATTCCAATGTAAACAATCCCTTTTTATATAGATGATTTACGCTCTTAACAAAGACAGAATAAAAATTTAAAAACTCAAAAGAAAAGGGTAACATCTTCTTAGATGAAAGACACCCAACAAAAAAGACATTTAGTTTGTGAAGCACTATCTTTGTTTCCTAGTGATACAAAGAAGGATCTGGAGCAAATCATTCAGTTCGTGAATTTCATTTTGCTGCAACAATCAAAGGTACACAAATCTTGTACCAAATGTTGTTTAAATTTTTCATCTTTTAATTCCAAAATATAGTATATTCAATCAAATTCAAATGATAAGGGCAACATTCATTGTTATAATAATGTGAACCTGAAAAAGAATCGGAGGCTAAGATTTCCTATATTCACAACTTCACATAAATAAGAACTAAATTATATGAACCTGATATTTAGTTGATTGTTGTTTTTAACCTCCTCATATCTTATTTTCGCTAAAATACATCGATAGATACTTAAATTTTGCCTTAATTATCCATTTGATACTAAAATTATATATCCAGTGGTCATCTAAATACATTAACTTAATTATAATGTCTCTTAAACACAAGTATCTGATGTAGAGAATTATGTATCTCAAAGTCAATTTTTGAGTACATGAAATCTTATTTTTACCTGTATTTTCTCTTCTTTTTTTTTTTATCTAGAAAGGACCTTGATTTCACTATTGTTGCTACGTATTGTTTCATAATGTATCGTATTGTGAATCTTAACTTTTGTTTATGACCATCTAAACACCTTATCCTTATCCTGATTTAAATTGGTTCTATAAACATACTCTAATGCATGAATTGCACTCGTCAATAATAAGGCAAAGTAACAAATAACAAAATTATTTTTATGAATGGAAATTGTCATATGAATACTTTTTTAACAAGGGGTATCAAGTACTCATTGTCACATGAACATCCATTTTTTCAACTAAGTCGGGCCTGAAGAGATTAAAAAAATGGATAAGGTAATTTTTTAAAGGTTACATCGTATTTTTAGAAGTTAAAATAATTTTTTAAGATTATTTTTTTTCTAAGTCAATGAGTTTGTCAACGAAAGAGTAATCATGCTTTAGATAGACGACAAGTATAAATGCGTCACTTTTTTAATGAGGATATATCACCTGCAAAGTTAGAAATGTACATTTGCCCTTTTCCCGATTTTTAATAATCTTTATCATCTGTTACTTAATATTCATATTGAAATCCAACTAATTTGAAATCGCGTAGCGTAGGGCTCGTTCTGATTGGACTCTCTGCAGGAGATACTGAGGCAAATACATTATCAACGGTGCTTAATCTATTCATGTTTTTAATCTCATTAGAGTTTTATGTTCTGCACATTGACTGTGTAAAAATTCCGAGGAAAATACAAATGAAGGAGAGAGGCGAAAAGAGAGATTTCCGACGTTGCAGACAAAAAGCAAAATAGTGCAGCTAAATACCTTCATTAATTTATTTTTCATTAATTTAAATAAATAGACTCTAATTTCCAAAATGTGAAATCAGATTAATAAGTAGGAGGAAAATAAGTAGCAAAAATATTGATGTGAAAACAGATTAATATGGATGAGGAAAATAAGTAGCAAAAAGATTAATGCGAAAACAGATTAAAAGGAGGAAAACAAGAAAATGAATTTATCTATTTTTTCCTTGATAGTTGACACTACTTGGGTTGTGTTTCACAAAATCGGCCAACTCATAATAGAAGGAAGAATTCTTGTTAAGAGGTTTTATTTAATTCTTGTTAAGAAGTTTTATATATTTTTATTTTTATTCATCAAGAAATAGTAGTCAATATTTTAAGTAAACTATCAACAAAAATATATATCTCCAAACTTGTTTGACATTGAGACGTTGTTGTTGTTGATTGACAAAGCATATACGGAAAAGTTGAGAAATGTTTTTCCCCTGTACCGAATACATCCTTAATTCTTGCTTAAGTAGAATTGATCCTTAAACCTCTGTTAGCTTATACTCATACTCAGGTCACTAAAGTTATAACATGGTATGAAAATAATATTTAAAACATATTTTCAATGAAATTAAACTCAGGATAATAGCAGAAGCCTCACACTAATCTTTCCAAAGGAAAACTACTTGATTTTTGAAGGGTATTTCTCCAGTTATGTTGTTGGAAGGAATGTGACCAGAAATTAGATTGTAACATATACTTAGAAACTTCAGATCAAGCAAGAGGGACAACAACTGGCTCAGATTACCAAATTTTCTTTGGAACTCTCTGGTGTTAAGATAGGTTTGTTGGAATACTTGTGAAGGTAAAGTCCAAAGAAGACAGTAATTAATTAGTACAAGGAAATGAAAAGTGCTCAATTCACTAATTGTTTCATCACATTCAAAAAGCAAAATCGTGCAGCTAAACACCATTATTTCTGATTTCTTTCAAGCATTCAAAACATAATCACAAATAGATAGAGTAAAATAGGTCCAAAACACTCAAAGACTTCACGTAGTACTATACGACAACTTTATTACAGAAACAAAAGGTATCATATTAATTTGCAGCTCAGAAAAGAACACCATGACTTCTATGTTTCCATAAATGTATTCTTGATTTTGTTAAGCCTCTTCACTACTTCTTTCATGGTCACTCTTGATTCTGGCGTTTCCTTTGTGCAGTCTAAAGCCAATTCTATCATGGACGCTATGCACATTTCACTTTTACAAGTGATTTGTTCTTCCTCAGAAAAAATATTGAATTGGCATCACAACATCCATCATACTCCCTGAAAATGATTGTGTTATCCATTTCCTCAAGTCAAGATTTCCATTGCATATCTCTTCATCTGTTGGCCTTCTTTTCGTCAAAACCTCCATCAACATGATGCCATAGCTATAAACATCACCGCTAGTGTACACTATTCCCTCCGTGCCATATTCTAAAAAACAGAATGAAGAAAAGAATTAAAAACAATAATTCTGCATAAATGAAAACTTCTTTTTTTTTTTACTTCTACAACTTGGAGAGGCTTAATTATGATAAGAGAAAATCAAGGAGAGTAGATTTTTTATACCTGGTGCAATGTATCCAAGAGTGCCCAATGTCTCTGTATGTACCACGGACTTGCTGACAGCTAAAATCTTAGAGATTCCAAAATCACCAACATGAGCCACCATATCTTCATCCAAAAGAACGTTGCCTGGCTTCAGGTCGCAATGAACTATTGGAGTGTTATGACCATGGTGTAGATATTCGATTGCCACAGACACATCAAGAATTATGGAGACTCTTTGAAGGAGGTTCAAGTGGAACTCTTCTCTATACAACCAATTCTCAAGACTCCCATTGCAACTAATTGATGAGTCCTGATCTCCGGTACCTTCTCCACATCTTTGGACTTCCCTTTCTTTTGTCGTTTCATTATCCAAATTGTAGCCAACAAGAATATCAGAAAGGATGAAGTAACCACTGGAGTAACAATTTCTAGCAAACCCTCCTTGATCTTTGATTGTTTTCCAGGATTAGTGATAGCACAAGCAGGAATCTCCAATATGTGCATTCCGCAGAGACCTTTGTTCCCGAGAAATGATTGGAGAGTGGAATATGCAAACACACCACCACTCGGTATTTCACCTTCTAAATCATTAAATGAAACATTAATGCTTTTAAGGTATGAGAATTTTTGCAAAGACTTAGGAATAGTACCTGACAATGCATTTGATAGCTTTTAAGGTATGAGAATTTTGCCCAATAAGATTATAATTATGGACAAAGCTTAATTCCCTCAAATTTGATATCTTCCCTAATTCCGGAGGAATTTGCCCCACTATGCGATTGTTTCCACAATAAAGATATTGCAGAGTGGAAATATTTCCCAATGAAGTGGGAATAGTCCCTTTTATTGGATTCTCACCAATATAAAACTTCTCGAGGTTAGATAAACAACCAATATTTTTGGGTATGTCTCCAGTTATGTTGTTGAAATATATGGACAAAAAATTGAGCTCTGTGAGTTGGCATATGTTGGAAGGAATGCAGCCAGAAATTTGGTTGTAAGATATACTTAAGAAGTTGAAATTTGAGACAATATTTCCTTCATCTACCAAGAGAGGACCGGAAAGCCTATTGATTCCAAGAAATATGGCAAGAAGTGACGAAATATTAAACAATGTTGTGGGAATGAAACCTGTTAATTGATTGTTGTACAAATACAACTCTGTTAGTTGGCTCAGATTACCGATCCCCTTTGGAATGTTGCCGCTGACTCTATTCTCAGACAAATCGAAGTTCATCAATTTTGTGGCATTTCCAACATAAGGAGGGATTATACCCGTGAGACTATTGTTCCCGAGATTTAAGACTCTGAGTTCGGGTACATACCATGGCCCTCTCCACATTTCACCACTGAGTTCATTGAAAGCCAATGAAATTACTTGAACTCTCCGGTTTTGAAATAGACTTGTTGGTAATTTAATCCTTCATAATAATAATAATAATAATAATGAGAATTAAAAGGTATGGGCCAACTCTATTCTATTATTTCTGTTACTCCGTGCGTTGCCTAAGGAATAGAAAGTAGGGTACGTGCTGGGTACACAACTTTATTCCTATCTTGTATTAAAGGTAGAGAGACAGTTTCGAAACATTCAGCTCAAGTAAGATATATCTAAAACGGTAAAAAATTAAAATACAGAAGTGAGGAACCATATAAAAAATAATTTGTTGATGATCATTATTATTATCGGTTTATTACGTTACAAGTAGTTTTCTATTCTTGAGGAAATTTCCATTCGTACTGGGAAGTATCACATTGCGGTAAAACATTCCTTAATGGGGACGACTCTATATTATTCAATTATATCGTCCCACTTTATGTGTTGACTTGACAGAGCAATTGGTATTTGCCCAAGTGTACGAAGTCTTACCCCTAACTATTTCCAAAATCTTCACTGCAAACGTATGAAATCGTCCTTAAAATGACCCCTCTGCCTTTTCCAAAAGTATTTTATATCTAGCCTTAGTGCTTTTGATTATCTCATTCAAGTTTCTGTTTTTGTTTAAAGGTAAGAATTTCATCTCACATTGGCCAACTTTATAAAGGCAAAAACATATGGATATATATTGTATGGTCCAGAACCAAGTCAATGGGAGTCTCCATAGTCCAAGACAAGTTTTAAAAAAAATGTTGTTTGACCTTTTATTATTGGGGCAGTACATTTATGTGTGAAATTTTACTAATGGTAATAAATAGTGTACATGAACCTATAACTTTAAAAATATAATGTATTTAATGCTTATTAGAAAAGTTGCAGGTAAATTCTAAATCTGTCTTTGATCACGCTATCAATAATTGAATAGTCTATAAAATGTTGTTGCAACAAACACATTTTGTAGAAATAAATTATAAATTATTTAAGTGTAGTTTTACTTTTTGATAAAAGTAAATTAGTTTTGAACAGACTAATAAAAGATGAGTGACTGTGATTTCATGAAATTTTTCTCTGGAGCTAACAAAAAAGATATCAACGGTAAATTTTGTTAGTATCAAGACCCAAAAGTTGAGGTCATGATGGCACACACCCCGAGAATCCCAAAAAAATGTGTAAGCCGAAAGAAATACACATAAGAGACTCTCGAAGGAAAGTCATACCACAAACGACAAAAAACACAACAAAGAATATCCTCAAAACCTGGTAGCATAAGTATAAAGAGCATCTAATACATTTTTAGAATGTGAAATATATCTCAAGTCTTCGAAAAGAAAGTTAAAGACTTTAAATGATAGAAAGAGATTACTGGTGATTCGGAAAACATGATCTAACCATAACTCCGAAAGAGAGAACTCCACTGGATCCAATCAACTGATACAAAGCTCAACCTGACTAGGATCTGCATAAAATGAATAACAGAAGCAGGGGGTGAGTACAATCCACAAGTACTCAGTAGGCTTGGCTGACTGAGCAAAAGAAATTAATCAACTTATAGAATATACTATGGAACGCTTCCACCTACATACAAAAAAGTCTCATTCCGCCATCGATGCCAACAACTTATAATGAACGGCGCGAGTAAAGTAAACACATAAGGTCACAATAGTTCTCATATCACAGACAAGTCAAACAATTTAAATGATTAATGCAATGCAATAAGATGATGCAATGATGTGGTAGTACAGTGGAATCAAGGTTGTTACACAACCTATCATATACACCCTGTCAAGCTAAGGCTCCCAGACAAGGACCCGCGGGGGACTCACAGTCCTTATACCAAATCACAATCTCAATATCTCATCAACTTGCCACCTCAGTGTGGTCAATGATATAAAAAAGTGTCTCATTTTCTTTCTCAAAAGGAATCTCTACATTTTTCTCAATTTTCCAAGAACATGATAACATGAATGAGGATGGATGCATCACAACACATATAAAACATGGAAGCAACAATTAAATCAATATGTATCAATAGTCTAAATTTCTCAAAACTCGGTAGAATCATGATATACACTCTCATATGAAAAATAGTGGGAAAGAGTTCATTTGAAATAAGTGAATTCCATTTAGAAAGCATTTCGCTTACTCAAAGCATTATAAAGTTTCCAACTCAGCCCCTCAATCGGGCATTACAAGTCAAATAGAATTACAAGCCTCTCTCACAAGCAACTCATGAATTATATGCTTTCAAAGCAAATAAAACAACAATTAAGGCCTCAACACAGGCTAAAAAATACATGCAAGCCCCCACATGGGCAACACAATATAATCGAGCCCCCGCACGGGCAACACAATACAAATCACAGCCCAAAATTATGCTACGATCTCATCCTATAGCCTAAGACATAAGAATGGTCAATTACCCAATCCAGGTCTAGGAGAAGGATAGCCAAACCTACCTCAAGACCAAAACTTCACTCGAACAACTCTACTAGAGCAAATCCTTAACCACACACTAATCAAAACGATTTTCAACTATAAAGAATGAAAATCATTAGTCAAAAGGAGTCCAATGATATCCATATTGATATGATTTGAAATCAGAGGTAAAATAGTTTTAAAATCACTTCAGAAATCAAAAGGGTAAAATCAAATTTTTTTAGTTGAAAATCAAGTTCTACATGCCAAGAGGAGTTTGTGGTTGAAAAACTCATTAAATACAAGCAAGAATCAAGCTCTAAATCAATAATTTACTATTTTTCCAACTTTGGGAGAAAAAACCCAAAACTCACATTTGAAATGCGGTCAAAAATGAGAAATTTCGGAAAAACTTTGTCAAAATCAGTTTACCCAAAATACAAGGACCTTAAATCCCGAAAATCAATGAAAATCCATTCCAAATCGACCTTCAAATCAACAATTTTTTATTTCTCTACTTTGGTGTTTAAAATCTCAACTTAATTGATATAAATCATGAGATATGAAAGGGATATTCTTGGAAAAAGAGTAAAATAGGCTTAGAAATACAACCAATGATTATGAAAGAAAAACGCATAAAAAATCACCTCAAACCAACTTTTCTAGCTCCCAAAATGTCCAAAATATGAAATGGGTTCGAATAGATATTTAACTGAACAATGTCGTGTCTAAAACCCATTGTTTCGTCGCTAAAAGTCTGTTTTATTTGCCACTAAAAGTTTGCACCAGCAACATTGAAAACATCTTTTTGACCCTCGAAACTCATTCAGAATCCTATAAACACGAGCCAATAATGCAAATTCCTCATAAAACTCCTTGTTGTCTTCTTGGTTGTTTAGTTATCTTTTACTGCATGTTTAGTGTATTGTTGACCCAGCCCCTTAGCTTGTGATAGGTTAGCACATTCCATCAAGTTCCGTGAACGGAGACAATAGAGGAATTAACATTAGGATTAACTGAAAATTGACACAAAATATTGTGAGCATGGGATACATTTGTAGATTTTCCATGATCCACAACAAGCAGCATTTTATCCCAAGGCATGTTACTTGGTGGAACGCTATCCAGTATCCTCAATCTTCAGAAAAAAATTATCATGACATAGCTCCTTAGTAGTCTCAGGCTAAAAAAAAAACTCACGAAGATACATGTCGTCAAAGGTTTCTAATTCAATTTTCTGTTTATTAGAGTCACGATCCAGATAAGTAGCAGTAATGTACCTCTTTGACATATTTCTTGGGGAACATTCATCGAACAGTTGGACTTTGCTGCATTCAGGGCCTGATGCTTCTTCATCAAGCATTTTGATTGGAGTATCAGATTGCAGCTCTGCGACTATCTTGGGGTAGCAACTACGGAAAAGTTCGTTGAACACCTTAGGTGACTGAATATCTTCCAAATCAGCTACAAGGCTAGATGCAGAAGAAGTATCCTCCAATTCTTTGATGAAAACTCCACTCAACATTTCATAAAACATGGCCCAAATGTTTATCTGCAGAAGTGTTAAACAACTCCAGATGGTCCCATAGGGCTTGAGTTTTCTTTGGCCAAAGGAGATACATTCGCTCAACTAAAGATCGTAGCAGCACTAATACTTGTATCTTGTACTATAACCTGTTGAGCTATAGATGAAGATTTGTCCTCCATCTTCTGTAGCACACGAGACCTTGCATAAGTTTATGTACGAAAACGCAGGGCTAACTTGATTCTAATAAAAAAATTGTTTGTTGCAAAGCATCCAACGGAACCATTCAAGGGGCTGACCATCAAGATATAAGGAAGGAAGAGGCAGCCAGTGTTCCTCAGAGAAGCCTAGGAAAGTGAAGTATCGCTCTGCCCTATAAATCCAGTCCTCTGGATTATCGTTGCCACTGAATCGATCTAATACCATAACTACCATTAGAGTACGTCAATGAAAGCACCAATATAACAACTCAAGTTACCAACACAACCATGATATGCATTATAATCGTTGAAGAACACAAAATACAATTGAGAAATGGAAACAACAAACTAATAACAATTGACGTCCTTAAAATGAAACTGAAAAGGTTAACCGAAGGGAAGAAGATAAAAATATATAGAGATAGATAGAAGCTCGATTAAGGATGGAGATGAGAGAATGAGACTCTTTACTCAACAATTTGCATAATCCCTAAATCACATACCACTACTCTTTTTGATGGAACTGTTCCCACGCCCACTTCTCAACCCGGATCCAAAATTAACCTAGCCCTATTGCTTGTTCTAGGCCCAATAGCTCTTTTCATCACAATAACTACTTTCGTATCCACATTGGGCTGGACTTGGTTCATAACATATTCAAAGCAAATAGCATAGGAACTGTTTTGCAATTTGCACTCTCATAATTCACTTGCATCTTCTCTTAAAGTTCATTTGTGCTCTTATAGAATTTACATGCTCATGTATCATCTGCTCTCAAAGTTCACATCAAAGTAACAAATGCTACTTATGATTTATTTCTATCT